CGATTCCGGTGAAAAGACTCTTGATACCACTTCCGGCAATGGATGCAATTCTCATGGGACAGCAAAGCGAGGACAAAAACATCACTGACAAAAGCTAGTTCCTTAAGAAAAAAGGTAAGTTATATGGAGACAGACTTTGTTTAAATCGACAGAGGCGTCGTTTATATAACTGAAAGGCGTCGCCGTCAAGTTTTTCTCAGTGTCTTTTCTGGGTTGTCTTCAACAGTGTTCAGTTTTATTTATCAAGGCAACTTACTCAAAAGAACCATGGCATTGTGGAGTCCAAAGAGAAGAGAGAATTGTGCATGCATTTGCTTCATTCCGCAACTGATTACATCAAAATAATGCCCCATGTTTAATAAGCCTCTTCAACAAAAATACGGACGTCAACGTAAACTCAATTACCGGTTCACCAGTACAGTAAAAACCCACGAGTCGGAACCTCTATTTTCTGGAGTTAGCCTAAACAGGTTCTTATTTAAATGGTAGTTAACACAATTTTAGGCTATTTAGGTTCTTAAATAGGTTCTTATTTCGGTAAAAAAAAAAAAAAAATCACAAACAAACAAACAAGCAAAACAAGATGGTAATCAGTCTATTTTTCAGTCATCCCCTCCCCGCCTCCACCACCAGCACTACCACCCTCAAGAACAGTAACGTATACATTTTAGATATTTTGCCTAGCTGCCTAGCCTTAACTGTAACAAAAACTTTGAGGCTGACAGAGAAACTGCTTCCAAGATCAAAAGAGGGATCCTTTTTATATTGTTCACTTCCCACTGTACCTCAGACTGCATAATGTGCTGATTTACATGTATTGCTGTGTTTTATTGATGTATAGTATTTCAAAATGCGATACAACAATATTACATGTAACCTCTTGCACTTTATTTTTCTATTATGTCAATAAATTAGCACTTTTAATTGCACAGCAATGCCAAGCTCCTATTTCTCCAAACAGGATTCTTGCACAGCTTTGCAGCTGCATTTCACTTATATGATTTCAAAAAATAAGAACCTGTCTTTCATTTTCTAGGTTAAACAGGTTCTTGTTTATACGGGTTAATTGAAATGGCAAATTTTAGGCTAACAGGTTCTTAATTTTCAGGTTCTTACTCGCGGGTTTTTACTGTATTCCATCAGTATTCACCTTGGCGAAAAAGTTGAACTTATTGCCAAAACACCGGAACTGTGGTCACATCAAGGGTCGGTCATGCGTTGAGTATTCAGTTTGGGGACAATCACGAGGTGTGGTCTAAGGCTAATTACTACTATTCTTGACATTTAGCTACAGAGGTAATATTTAACTGTATTATTCAACCCATAAACTCGTGAATAAAAATTACTCGTAAATTTACTTTCATCGGCCTTGCAGTGCAATAACCACACTACGGCAAATCTTATTAAGACACAATAACAAGAATATATTTAAGGGAACTGCCAAGAAAACTAAAACAAATTCTCTTTGGATTGTACTAAATTATGCAATGTGAAATTGTTTAATTTTCTATCATTGATATTTGATTCCGTATTCCGTTTCCGTTTCCGTTTCCGCTTCCGCTTCCGCTTCCGTGATTCCGTTTCCGTCAGTCCGGATGCCGGATTCCATGTTTTAGTGCTGCCGATAACTGACTGTAAAACTTAAAAAAATACAAATTATTAATGGGCTCTCACTTGATATCGCCCCAATGACATCCAAAGAAAGTTAACGGCAAAAAATAATTCAAAAAAACACTATATTTCCTCAAGAAAACATTTTAAGTAATGTTTCACACAAGAACTAGGCCAAAACCAGCGGGAGTAGCGCAAAATACACCGTTGAAATAAAAGGTGATAACTTTTTAATTAAATGAGAATCGGTCCTTATGATTGGCTATCCACGTTGAGCGCGCGAAATTTAAATTTTCTTTCACTCCAGAAAGTTAAACACGCTTATTTTCGAAATTTTCTGAAGTGCCTTTCTGTTAAGTAAGCCAAAACCTATAAGCTTGCCGAGTTGCATTAAAATATGAAATGGGGAAGTATCATTTCTGACACATTTTTGCTGCAAGATGGGGCGCGTAAAGAAACATGACACTCAAAACATGGCTATATGCATGGTTATTGTTTTTTTTAACAACGTATCGCATTTCGCCGTAATAGAAGCAAACAGACTTCTAAAAACATTGTTTAGTTCTTCTGGTATACCTTAGGCAGTCTACAACAAAATTCCAATCACCAATCACAAAAACGGAAACGGAAACGAAAACCAAGCAAAACGAAAATAAAAAAAAGCTATTCATCGCGTTCGCGGCATCGTAGCCATCCTCTGTTTCTATCTCCAATGTTCCGTTAGAAACTGAGTCAAATATTTTCGTTGGGAAAAGCAATTCCTCCATAAGTTACAATGATTTGAAGATTTTTGCAAGAGCAAAGACATGCAACCGCAAGAACTGTAAATTGTGGGTTTCCGGAGATATCCACGTGTCTTAGCTGGTTCAAAGCTTGCCTGATTTGGAAGATGCAACTTTGGTCCAAACCAGGACAGTTAGAAAGGTTCAGACTATCCAAAGTCGCAGCAACCCGTATTATTTGCTGCAAATGACGATTTGAGATCGCTGTGGAAGACAAATTTAGGTTGATCAAAGCAGTAAACATCCTCAGTGGGACGAAACGATACAAACTCCCTCGTCGCGAAAGATCCAGTTGCTCCCACTCTAAATCCATCTGAAAGGACTCTCTGATTCTGAAGATCATTTCCCACCACTCCTAACACACGCCAGCAGCACTCACTAAGTCCTTTTCGTCCAGAAAAAAAGACATAAATCCAAAGCTTCGATGAAACTTTCATTCTGGTCTTGTCACCGGGTAAAAAGTTTAGCGATGCCCTATCAGTCCAGTAGTATTCACAACTCAATTCACACTGTCGTTTCTAATTCAGCCAAATTTTATCCCGACGTTGTTTTCCGAAAGTACACAATTTCAACCTTATTTCTCTGAGATCTCGAAGTAGCAACTGGGATGGATATATCTGACAAACCACTTTCACTGCGGGCTTGTCCATTCAAATGAAGAGTGAGAAATCAGCTGTTGTCTTTTTACTTTCTGAATGAAAAGGACTTGTTCTCAATTGACCTTTGTTTATTCTAGACAAAGGAGATTCATAACTGGCTATTGTCCTACACAATTTGTCACCTCTATAACTTACATGTGAGAACATTTTATTCTCATATGAGACGCGCTTCGATTTCATTCACGAAGAGCACGCGTACCGGCAAAGACGCCAACAATTACCCGTCAAGATGGAGAGAAAGTAAGTGGCGATTGGTCTTAAAATTTTCAAGCAAAATGTTGAATTTTTCTTTACTTATCACGCTTTTTTGTGCCATTGTAGGAGCTTGAAGAGACCAGCTGAAGAAGGAGAATGCTCTCATGCCGAGTGGAAATACACCAAGGCATCTCATGTAAGCACAAATATTTAGAAGAAAAAATAGATCAATGTGATCAACATTCTACTTTTCTTTTAAAAAAATAAAACTTGTTGGTTTGCTGTTATGTGCTAAAAAGTAACGATTACCCCATGGTAGTTTCAGTAATTTTTGCTGAGATTTATACACTCGACATGATTGCAAGTGGCCGTGGGGAAGTTACCATGGTCAACAGGCTTCTAAAGGAACTGGAGATCGACGAGGAGCCGTTCGCCCGCGTAGAGGAGCATCTAACTCGCCGCAACGTAACACTTCGAGAAATTTTTGACTCAAACGATCTGCGCTACAATCAGATACGTGCAGTAATTGTTGCACTTATGTTCGGTGTTCATCCATAGTGACTGAAAATGAACTACATCCTTTGATCTTATTAGTCACAGCACATCAATTGAACATTGTTCAGTGGACATAGAAGCGAAGCGAACAGTTTGACAATGTTCCCGCGCGCGCGACTAGTTTGAGTAGATTTTGAACAACAAATTTCCTTTCAATACTGATAGGCAAAAGGGATCAGAACCAACCGTTTTCTTTATTAGCGAATATGAAAACATCTATTTCTAATAAAATGTTCAAGTAAAAAAATAATCAAATTTTTGATGCTTGTTCTGTTTTCGGTCGTTTCGATACAAAGTCTTTTCGATGCAAAATGATTCAGACGAGATGTAACTAGTTTCGGGTACTTGACTTGAATGACGAGTAATAATTGCCGGGATTAACAATATTAGAAGTGGTCGAAATTGTTGTGTAGTTTCACGGCTTGAGTTCGTATCGAAATGATTTGTATCGACAGGTTTCTAATGAATCGAAATTTTTTACCCGCAAGGATTAGCTGATTGTACAACACTCGCGTAAGCTTTCGATTGTAAAGCCTACAGAAAATATCTGTAACTCATATGGTTATGATCTCATGAAACTACTTTTTATGAAAGTTTTGTTACCTAACTCAAATAAATGTTTATGTTTACAATACAAAATATATAGTCCATTTTCTTGCCGTGTTTGCAACTCTAGTGGTCAAATATTCTCGTGGGGCGTATGGTACATTGTTCAGTAAAGGACCTTAGATATAGATGCTAAGGTTAAGGAACACTGCCAAGTTGCCTTCATCATGGCATCGAACCATAAATAAGAATTTGCTTGCCATTTCAAAAAGGTGTCGGGTAAAATAATTACATCCTGTCACAACTTCGAACGAAAAAAACATTCCTTCAGAAACGTTTTTTTAAGCCTTTTCAACAAACATTTTCCGTTCCTTTTGTAAATGACAATAAACAGAAGTCATTAGTGGGCGGAGGGGAGGGGGGAGGGGGTAGGTTGATGTTAGCAGTCAAACGAATGCCACAGTGAGTGAATTTCATTTGAAACTATCAACAACTAGCTATACAAAGTATGAAGGAAGGTTAGTTTGGCCATTCCTAATTTTGCTCGAGCCTTGTTAAGACCAAAGACAAAAATAAAGGCACTTTTTTTAAATTGAAATATTTCACATCTATGAAAAGCACCATTCTAAAAACTGACTTATCGATGACAATTTCATTGAAAATTATCCCCACACCCACCTGTAATAACCGAACTGGTCCTTCCCTTTTTCTTCATCTCTAGCACATGTATTGCATCCATAGATAAAGGATTACCACTCACATCCAGGCTCCTCAGCTCCTTTAAGTCACCAATCTCAGAAGGCAGTTCTGTAAGTCTGTTACCAGACAAGTACAGCTCCTCAAGCTGGTTCAGTTTCTGTATACTGGTAGGTAAACTAACCAACTGGTTGTCAGTCACATACAGCTTCTTCAGCTTCTTTAAGTCACCAATCTCAGATGGCAGTTCTGTAAGTTTGTTATCAGACAAGCGCAGATCCTCAAGGTGGTGCAGCCTCTGTACACTGGTAGGTAAACTAACCAACTGGTTGATACTCACATTCAGCTTCTTCAGCTCCTTTAAGTCACCAATCTCAGATTGCAGTTCTGTAAGTTTGTTATCAGACAAGTGCAGCTCCTCAAGTTGGTGCAGCCTCTGTACACTGGTAGGTAAACTAACCAACTGGTTATTACTCACATTCAGCTTCCTCAGCTCCTTTAAGTCACCAATCTCAGATGGCAGTTCTGTAAGTCTGTTACCAGACAAGTACAGCTCCTCAAGCTGGTTCAGATTGTGAATACTGGTAGGTAAACTAGCCAACTGGTTGTCAATCACAAACATCCTCTTCAGCTTCTTTAAGTCACCAATCTCAGATGGCAGTTCTGTAAGTTTGTTATCGTTCATGAACAGATCCACAAGCTGGTTCAGATTCTGTATACTGGTAGGTAAACTAATCAACTGGTTGTGGCTCACAAACAGGATGTTCAGCTTCTTTAAGTCAAAAATCCCAGAAGGCAGTTCTGTAAGTCTGTTATAATGCAACAGCAGCATCTCAAGCTGGTTCAGCGTCTGTATACTGGTAGGTAAACTAACCAACTGGTTGTTATTCACATCCAGGCTCCTCAGCTTCTTTAAGTCACCAATCTCAGATAGCAGTTCTGTAAGTTTGTTATCAGACAAGTGCAGCTCCTCAAGTTGGTGCAGCCTCTGTACACTGGTAGGTAAACTAACCAACTGGTTATTACTCACATCCAGCTTCCTCAGCTCCTTTAAGTCACCAATCTCAGATGGCAGTTCTGTAAGTCTGTTACCAGACAAGTACAGCTCCTCAAGCTGGTTCAGATTGTGAATACTGGTAGGTAAACTAGCCAACTGGTTGTCAATCACAAACATCCTCTTCAGCTTCTTTAAGTCACAAATCCCAGAAGGCAGTTCTGTAAGTCTGTTATGATACAACAGCAGCACCTCAAGCTGGTTCAGCTTCTGTATACTGGTAGGTAAACTAACCAACTGGTTGTTAGTCACATCCAGCCTCCTCAGCTTCTTTAAGTCACCAATCGCAGAAGGCAGTTCTGTAAGTTTGTTATGATACAACTTCAGCACCTCAAGCTGGTTCAGCTTCTGTATACTGGTAGGTAAACTAACCAACTGGTTGTCACTCACACTCAGCCTCCTCAGCTTCTTTAAGTCACCAATCTCAGAAGGCAGTTCTGTAAGTTTGTTATCAGACAAGTGCAGCTCCTCAAGTTGGTGCAGCCTCTGTACACTGGTAGGTAAACTAATCAACTGGTTGTTACTCACATCCAGCGACAATAGCTCCTTTAAGTCACCAATATCAGAAGGAAGTTCTGTAAATTTGTTACCATACAAGTACAGCTCCTTAAGCTGGTTCAGCTTCTGTACACTGGGAGGTAAACTAACCAACTGGTTATAACTCACATCTAGCCTCCTTAGCTCCTTTAAGTCACCAATCTCAGAAGGAAGTTCTGTAAATTTGTTACCATTCAAATGGAGCGTGATAAGATTCTTCAGCTTGTTAATACTTGTTGGTAATTCAGTCAGGTTATTGTCATCCAGCCAAAGTTCCTCCACTTCAGTCAGTTCAGTGACTGCATCAGGTACCCTGGAGAGTCCTTTTCCACTTAGATTCAAACTTACCACTCCACCTACATCTTGAACACAGGCTTTTAACTTTGCACTGGAATAATCCTCCATGTTTCAAAATATTAAATAAAAGTATCCTTGTCCTTTCTTTGTAATCTAAAATGAAAATAATAAAAATAATAATTAGCAAATAAACGTTATTATTGATCCCCTCTGACAGTGTATCTTAAATAGGTGAACTTTAAAGAACAAAGAGGAAAAGAAATCTTAAGGTTCAGAAAGTGCGTATACATGTAAATTTAACGTCTTTGCAAGACAGCGTTATTTATCATTATTAATTATTTTACTCAAAATATTTTTCCGTTTCTGATTGGCTCGAATCCCCTGGCTAACTCTTCACAACCAGCTGGCATTGACCAAGGGCCTATCTGCACTATGAGCAAAAAAGCTGTCTTAAACAAATTTTTTGTCACCACCAATAATGCTTTACAAATGCGGATTTTGCCCCAGAAGGGACAATCTTCAAAGGCGATACAGACAAAATTTGTCCCGGGTTAATTACTGGACAAAATCACCTAAGAAAATGAAAACATGACTTTTTCTTATCGATCATAATAATATTTGTTGCATTGTAGAGCAAATTATTTTTACCATTAAGTTGACAGATCAGTAGATACGACGCGCTGTAAATAGTTTTCAGTGCGAATCAATTTTTCAACAACAACTTGTCACCATGCAAGTTTCAGTTTCGATGTTTCAAAGTTTGTCTGATTATAGTGTGGAAATTAGGTCCCAAATTTCACAACATTGGTACCTGCAATGATGTCAATTATAGAGCAGAGTGAGACAATCAATTAACATTAAGGACAAGGTTTGGCAAACAGTTTTTGTTAGTGACATATGCTCCAAGCCTGCATGCAGATGTCTGCTATTTCCTTTGTTGCATGCGAAAAGGTGGAAAAGGGAAACTTTTCTGCATGCAAAAAAGGAAATAGGAGATTTGTGCACCCAGTAACATTGAAGCTGGGACAGGAATAATTTAAAACGTGAAAGCTTCCTAGAGCGAATTAACTCTTCTACAGAAATCTTTTGGAGCTTTGAATAAAGAAATTTTGTACTTAATTATTCATTATTATTCATTTCACTTTTTTGGAAATTAGCCACATAGCCTTTAACAGTGTCACTACTGTAATCGGGGCCACTTCAGACAAAGTTGACCAATCAGATTACAGGAAAATAACAATACATTCCAAGGAGATTGGTTGTGGGCCAATCAGCAGCTCATTATGAAAAACAATAAGTTACTCAAAGCACAAAATATAATTTTGATAGCAAAATGTTTCACCAGACAATGTTTTCCTATTCAAAACTTTGCATACAACACCCAGGAGACATTTCTTTGACGTAAAGCTGTTATTTTGTCATCTACCTACAATTTCTTCCCTACTATTGCCGCGCTTTGCAATAACATGCCACGCTGCAAGTCAAAAATACAACTATCGTTTTTGTTAAATTGCCTCCATCACAGTACACTGTAATAGGCCTCTCAGGAAACACATGCTTTCTTCAGCAGGTTCAAAAGGTCACGTCTCTAGGTTGTAATTGGCTGGTTTTGATCCATGTTGTTTATTTCATTTCGTGGTTAAATTTAATATTTAGCAACTAACTTTCTTGAATGTATTGTTATTTTCCTGTAATCCGATTGGTCAGCTTTGTTGACAACCGAGGAGGAGTATCAGTGATTTGCATCAATTTAAAGGTAATTATATGTAGTAAGCATAATAAGTACACGCAAGAGACTATAAAGGGGACAGAGAGGGCATCCCCCATATACACCCTATTCCATAGGTAATTCGTCTCGAGTTATTTTTAACACCACAGATCTCAAGGGGGATTAGACAACAGCCAATCACATAGCGCGAATGTGTTCCGCGTGGATGACCCACGCTGAGAGCCACGCGTCCTTCACGAAATGACGCAGAACAAAATGGGGGAAGACGCGGAGAGCGATTTTGCTATTCCTTTTGTCGACGAAAACGACTACAGCGAGATTTCTGCGAAAGCTGTGTCAGCGAAACCGAAATTAAAAAAGAATCGCCCTTCCTCTCTTGTATAGAGCTAACAGTAGAGCAGGGAAATCCTTAACACACTGAATATTCTCTCAGGATCATTTATAATTTACAGTTTGAAGAGAGCAATTTCTGGTTTGATGTTTATTTTTTTCAGTCTTTATAGCGATTATTCCTACCCACTTACTTTGTCAATTGTAGGCGAACCCTCCTAAAGCTGAATTTCAAGGGACCATATTCAAGCTCAGAAAGAGAAATAAAATTTCGTCGTTGCTTATTTACGTCCTCCATAAAACGCGAAATTAGGCATTTTCACGTCGTAGTCGTGCAAAAACGGGAAAGAAATGAACAAAAAAGTGTGTTGCACGTGCGAAGTTGTTGTTTTGCTAATTAAACCTATTGTTTTTTTGACGTTCTAGTTGTCGTCCGCGTCGTTGGATCTTAAACTCCCTAAATTGTACAACCGACCGGTTTCAATAGACCGGCGAAATTTCTCATTTTATTAAAACACTGAGGTTACGACAACTTCGAGTTAAACTGATTTCACGGGTTGTCAAAGAGTCCAGCAATTCCTTTTTCCCAAGTGAGCGCCGACTCATTTCGCTTCAATATTCAGGAATGCTCTCGACCTTTTTACGCTTTCATTGCCTCTCGCCCGACATGTTTTGCACGGCGTTTGGTCATGCGAAACCTCTACGAAACATCCACGCCTCGCGCGAGGTAACTTTATCCCAATTCTAAAAATAACTCGAGACGAATTACCTATGGAATAGGGTGTATATGGGGGATACCCTCTCTGTCCCCTTTATAGCGGATCTCCACGCGCGTGCGAAGCGCGCGTGGGGGGAGCCCCATAGCTAAGGAAATCTACCCATCTCAGAAAATTTGGTAATCACGTGACCGACCGACCGACCGTCCGTCCGCACCACAGGTATACCAATGTTTACTCTCACACTTTCTAGCTACTTTTGGGAGCCCAGGAGAAAGCTGATTGAGAAAGCTGATTGCACATCAACGTTGTCATCAACTGACAGCTGTCAAAACAGGGTATCCGCTGACCACTATCACCTGACCGTGTCGCGGGCTCAGGTGTCGACCCATCAAGGTCGAGTATTTTTTGAAGTTATCCGCTGACAATTTAAATAATCGCAGGCTCACGTTTACTTTTGTTTTAAATTCACAACAAATATGTTGTATTTATGTCAGTATCGCCCCGCACTATTACGATTTTGATTTCAAACTGACCTAAGACGCAAAAATTCAGCCAGTTTTTTTAAAATACAGGCGGGGAAGACCTTTTCCTGCCACGGTCACATGTTGGTCACGCTCCACGTCCAATTTTTTTGCTCTGGGCCGGGTTGTTCAAAGCAGGGTTAAGTTAAGCCAGTGTTAGGGCGAAATTTGATTTCATACATGAAAGCTTGAGAAGTAAATTCAGTTGTATTCTTTTTGCCTACAATTGATGATTGGATGCTGTAAAAAGAAGAGAGAGAATTATCCGAAAAATGCTTTTAAACAAAAGAAAAAGAAACCCGGGTTAAAATTTAACCCTGGGTTAGCTCTAATAGGCATTCGAACAACTGGGCCCAGATTGGTTAAAATTTGACAGGTGAGTTCATGCGTAAAATTTATGCGGCATCTTGAAAGTTGTTTACTTTGACAGCTGAAGCTTACAGAGTTTTGAGTCAACTTGTGATGTTTTTAACTGTCTTTCTCCACTGGATGTACAAAATGAAATACAGCTGCTATCAAGAGTGTTCTCTTATTCAGGGGCCGCGGAGCAAGGTGAAAAGTGGGAGGGCTGACAATTGAAAATAAGTTTTTCATATTGAAAATCGAAAAAAGGAATAAAATCATAGTAATTGATTTGTTTCTGTCGCGTGAGTTTGCATACTTTATCCAGTATTTGTTGCTCTTTATAGGTCGGCATTAGTGAAGATACCGAAATTCTTCATACGATTTTCATTCCGTCCAGCAAATGTGTTTGCGATCTGAATCACGTCCAAGCTTTCCGTTAATTTCTTATGACAATTAAGTACTGTCAAGTTGCTGAATCGCTGCTGTTTCATGTTCGATCTCAGCCACGTCTTCAGGCGACGTGCCGCTGAAAAAGATCTTTCACAGCAAGCACTGGTTGCTGGGTTGACCGCCAAAATCTTACATAGTATTACTGCTTCACCAATTAGGCTTCGTTCTTCTTTAGGTAGCTTCTTAACTTCGCAGAGAACATCATCAAAGCATTCCATCGCACCTTTATCCTTCAGAATCTGACGCAGGACATGAAGTTGGGCCTTCAGCGAGTCAAAATTGATGTCGTCCTTGTATGACACTTTCATGTAGTCGAGCTCTGCTGTGTAGGATTCCCCATTGATACCTTTTAGTAAGAGGGACTCCATCTTTTCATAGGCTGTAAAGCTTGGTTGACTGAAACGCTGTTCTATGGCATTAACTATCAGATCAATAGCCTCAAAGTAGATGCGCCGATAGTGGTCCTTCGGTGTTTCGGGAAAGGTTGGCTGTCCACTTCCGACCTCGATCCTTGCAGGTGCTCGACGCTTTCGTGGAAGAAGCGGATCAGAAATGGCGTGATCTTTGCTTTTGCGAAGGACTATTGAGTAGAATGCTGAAAAGCTATCATCATTTCGGATGCTCTCTAGTACTGACTTAGTGAGTTGCGCTAAACGTTGTCCACTGACTGCAGACATCCTCGTCGACTGCAAGGTTTTAGATAGGTTATCAGAGTGAGAAAATAACCTCTCTCCAAGACTTAGCCCAAAGAAAAAGTCGAAGGTTTGCATTTGTGCTTGACAACCAACTATTCTTCCTCTAACATCTGGTTGCAGCTTATCTTCTAGGGACACCCTCCATTCTTCCATTAGAGCAGAATAGTTGCCGAGGATGCGCCTAAAGCAGGCTGCTCTTACAGTCCACCTTGTTGGACAGAGAGATACAATACCACCAAAAGCAGCAGAGTCGCTTTCATCTTCTTGCTCCAAATTTTCCTTGATTTGTCCGAGACTGCATTCACGCTTTGGGGAATACTTGATTAGTGTTGTAATCTCTTTTGCAGTATCCATGGTGTTTGATAATATTTTAGAGGCTTTGGTGACATCTTTTATACCAAGACTTAGTGAGTGGCCATGGCAGTGAGTGGGATGGGCTTTGGCTGTATCTGTAAAATTCTAGTTGCTACGCCAGATTTACTACCAAGCATGTTACTGGCGCCATCATAGCATTGCCCTCAGCAGTTGCTAAAAGATAACCCAAGCCTTATGAACACGTCTTTAATGACTGCTTCAATAGTGTCTGCACGAATATTTGGAATATTCACAAACCCTAGGAAATCTTCATGCGCTTCTAGTTCTTTGTCAATCCATCTAACACAGAGTGTCAATTGTTCCTTATTACTGACATCTGTGTATTCATCACAAAGGATTGAAAAAAAGGAGTTGTCTAAGCTAGTAACTAGTTGTCTCGATACAATGTCTGCCATGATTGACACCAGCTCCGTCTGTATTTCATGACAGGTGTACTTGTCATTTTTTCGCTGAAGCCAATCAGTAAGCAACGGTACATCATTAGCTCTCAATTTAAGGAGCTGGTTAAAATTGGATTCAGCATCTGTGTGTCCTTGCATAGCAAGGCCCTGCCGGTCAAGAAATCGGACGCTCTCAATTATTTTTAAGAAACATGCACGGTTTTGTTTCATGGTCGTGTCGGCTGCATTGCTACACATCTCAATTATGTTTCCACTTGACGCTATAACACCAACTTGGTGCTCACATGCCAAAATGTGACAATTGGACTTCTGGTGCTCTTGAAAGCGGGCAATAGCATTTTTCCAATTTGAATAACCACCCTTGATGAAAGTCAGTTCTTTGTTTTTTGCAGTTGAAAGGTTGCCTTTTTTATTTTGATGTGCACAGACGTAACAAATGACAGAATCACTTTCTTCGACATAATGCAACCATGGAAAATCGTTAAACCAGTTCGCTTTAAATGAGCGATTCCATTGTCCGATTTTCTTTTTAGGGAAACTGAAGTTATGTGGTTGATGAGGTTTACCCACAGGGTCAATGCATTTACTTGACAACTCGATGGTCGCAGCATTACTTGGTGTAGAATTGTGTACAACTACAATATTGAAAATGCAAAAAATAACGTTAATTTTGGACGCATTCGAAATGTCTTTTTCGTAAAAAGGAACTAAGATAATAATTGATGTATTTTTTATTATAAACCAATAAAAGAATACATATAAGGTAGTTGTTCTATTATACATGATTATTTTAATCACAGCTACTACAAAACATGCCCTAAATATCCGATAACAATAATGGCATACACAATATATAGCTTATTGAATAAAAAAAATGCTAACATCGTATTTTGCACCCAGCCTCCTAAAACCTGGCTTGTCAATAGTACGGTTTGAAAGCTGTAAAAATAGTAGACTTGGGTGATTTTGAAAGAATATTTCGGCAGTTTCTAAAGACAGCACTGCACCTGTTAAACCTATACTAAAAAGCCTGGATAGCTCTAAATGAGCGATAGCTTGAACATTATCTGGCGAAAGGGCTAAGCCATTTAAAGACAGCAGTTTAAGTTTAGACGACAGCTGTACTACCTGAATGACACTATATGCATTCAAATTTTTGCAGTTGTCAAGGAGTAAGTACTCTAAATTTGAACACACAGTTTTTCCCAAAAAATTGATATCTCTCAACACATCTTGCCAACTTAGATCTAGATAAACTAGTTTTGAAGAATTGGCTAAGTGACGTAAAAGTGCCACAGCCGAATACTTTATGGTGACATTCCTCATGGAAAAATAGGTGAAAGCTTCTGCATGGGACATTATTATTGCCATTGGGTGTTGATCAATTTTCTGGATCATCCACTCATCAATGGCGACAATCTGCCACAAACAATCTGTGTCGCATAGCCTCATCCATCTTTTAGAAACTCTGCACAATGAGCTCATAATCTCCCCCAGAGAAGTGTATTTCAAGATCTCGATCAGAACTTCATCGGGTAGCGCTGAATGAAATCACAAAACAGTAATTTGGACCGTGCTTCAAATGCCTTAGAACCTCAATTGCTGGGCGTGTTTAAAGAGTAAATAAACACACCATATATGTATCTCAAAATCTTTAAAATAACAAATATATGAGGATGTTTTATTACATAAAGTGTTTTCTCACAAGTGCCCTACCCTATAAACCAATGGAAATAACGAAAAGGATGAATGAAAAAATAAACTTACCCTCAATGGAAACAGATTGATCAACGCAGGTCTCACTCTCGGGTAAACAATCATCTGACAAAATTAAACGCATAGTTATTATATCATAGTTATTATACAGTCTATGAAATTCAACTTTATTTATAAATAAATAAATAATGTGTTTATTATCCTTTTGTTATAGCTAATGCTAAATTACAGGATTGCTGACAATAAGTAGAATATTATAAATAGAATAAATATATAACCCATCACCAAAAATCCAATTACACTTAACGAATATTAGTCAAACAACTCGCACTTCCAAAAAATGACACTTTTAACAATATATTGAAATGTTTACTGGTCAAACTCAAACTCACCATTTTCACTGCAAGTAGTTGAAGAGCTTGCAGATAACTCTAATAAACGACCAACATACACAGTCAGTTCAGATTCAATGCAAGAAAAGACGCGATTACAATTTTAGTATAGAAAATCCTACAGTGAAGTGATCTGAAAAATTTCTAACTATGGCCGTTCACTGTTCAAGTTATGTAATTCTTCTTGCCATCGAATATTTCATTGATTCGAAAGGAGAAAGACAAAATATAAAACTTTTATCAACTCAAAACAACTACTCACCTTCGTTTGGCTTGAAAAAGCTAGTAATTTTCTGCATTTCGTCTGATAAAAAAAACTCTGCAAGAGCTGGAAGTACAAAAACACGCTGCCGAACGAAGCGAAGGGGTGGCCAAGGCATGGCGTTTGATCAAGGGGCAAGTCGGCCCCAGGCGCCGCACAATTACCGCGAAAAGCACAGGAGCCCCACAAAAAGCCTGGCGTTTGAAATTAAAGAAAATACAGAGAATGTAGCGGAATATAGACGGAAAAAACTTGTTTCAAGTCTTTTTTTTATTTTAATTATTTTTCTTTTTAGAGCAAAAAGTGGGGGCGGGGGTGCCAAAAAGTGGTGGGGCCGCGGTCCTACCAGCCCCTCCCCCTCCGCGGCCCCTGTTATTCATGGCTGGTTTGTTTATTGGGTTTTTGGTTGTGAAATGAGTCGCTTGTCAAAGCCGATAATCCGATTTCGGATGGCATCGTTTTTGTTTTTCACCTTTGCTGGATGCGTACGAGAATTATAAAGGCTCAAGCGATCCTTGCCTTACTTGATAGCTTTCAGGACCTGCATCTCGAAAGATGGTAAGCCTGAGTAATTATTATATTTAAATCTAATTTCATGAAGTCCAGCGGCGCAGTTTATGAAGGTAGTTTATGCACGTTTGTATTAAGATTTGACTGAGACACTGATCTGACCTCATATGAGGTTTGATATAAGCTAAAGCTTGCAGAACTTTAAAAAGCCTTTAGTCGACATTAATTCACCGTAAATAGAAAGAAAAAACTTTCCGAAGAATATTTAGTTATAATTTTGGCTGTAGAAAGAAAGCTTTGAACGATTTTCTTGTCGTGAGTTCATCTTTGAAAACAGCCAACACCGGGAAACCGGCGGCTTAAAACATAAACTTTAAGCTTACTAGTAAAGACTTGAGGATTCTTAGACACACTTAAATACTCATTTGTTTTCGTGAGTGAAAATTGTTGTCTCTGACAATGTTCTATCGAATTATTTTTCTTTATTGATTTTTGGTAGTCTCAAAAGTGTAATTTTCATCGCTTTGCCGTTGTTTTCAGCCGTTCATAAACATCGCTTGCAGGAGTACTTAAAATGCCAAGCGTATCAAACGCTTTTTAAGAGAACACATCGTTATAAAACCGTAAATAAAAAACAGACTCAATAAATTATTTATCACATTGAAGCGTAACTCTTTTAAAATTTCTTCGCAAATTTGGTGCTTGTCAAAAGTTAGAACCGGCTGGCCGTATAGGTGATTTGGAAATTTTTTGAACGGTTTCGCTAATTAAAAGTCCACACGTGCTTCGATGGTTCAGAATATTGAATGAATGCAATTTGTCTTGAAAAATTGTGAAATAATGCATTTTGTACGAGGTCTGTATGATAAAAACAGCGTCTCATAGTACTCTTTCTCCTCGGATGTGGTGTATAAAAAAAATAAAAGATTGGTTTGCACGCACCCAGATTTATTGGCAAGAATTTGTAAACTTGTCGAACGTAAAAAAATTCGGTCTGTTTTGTTTTCCAAGAATTTGTTTTCCACGCCTTATCTACTGTGATCAAGAGCCATCATTGCTCTTAAATGTGACCGAAGACTATTTTTGGGTGTACATATAAGGCTATATCAACTCGATACAAAATTTGTTTCACTCCAAAATCACTTAGCTTTTCCCTCAAAAGTCACATGAATGTGCCCCTAAGTTAACTGATTTGTGGAATACAAAATTATTGTTTGATTTAAGTTACAAATTTATCAATGAGAGCTTCGCTTTTAGCTGTGGCTAAATATATATATTAGTCTCTTGGTACTCATAGCTCAGCGAGTGCATTTAAGTTTTCTTAGCTTTACCGTTGAGCAGGGTAAGGGTTATGAAAAAAAAAAATTAAAAATAAACATTCTTTCTATGTTCTCTGTCTGGATGTGGGAAAGCTGGGCGGGTTTGACATAAAGCAAGTCAGCCTGTGGTGACCACTTTTGATTATCGCCAATTGCTGGTGTGAGGACTAGGCGGCGATTTGGAATGGAAGTTGAGAAAGACCTGGTTACCACTCCAGTTGCATAAGCAGGGGGGTGATATAAGCAAAGATGGCAGCAATGTAGCCGTTTCCATAATAATCTGTGGGTATCTTATTAAACACACGTGCAAGGAGGAGGAAGAGAGATGAACATGATGTGAAAATTAAAAGCAACAAGGTATCTATTGTTCAAGCTCATTCTCAAGGTTCTTTCCTACTCGTGAATCCATCCATTTCAACCTCGTCTCGCTCTTGTTGTGTCAGGAAGTTTAACTCTTATTGACTGTTTTGCTTGAGTTTGAAAGCAAGTAAATTTGAACATTAACAGATAAAATTTTGTTTACCTTTGTAAGTGGAAAACATTTCCAGCAGGATGCAAGAAAATGTGCTGACAGACTGAACTCAGAAAGGAAATTCTGAAAGACATTGGCATCTGAGCAGACTGGGAAGATATTACTTTGACCACGTAGTTAGTTTTGACCAACTATGATGTCCCTGGGGTAGGGCAGTAATTGATGCCTATGCCTGGTCTCCCCTCCTCCAGCTTAAAAATGAGAGGTGAATAATATCACACCGACCTACATGTATGCATTTAGTTTTTAAATTGCTTCACATTTACTAACACCTTTGGTTGAAATTCATATGCCTCGTATCAAAGTCCTTAAATGAAAATGAACTTCAATTTGTCCTCTAACTTGTAATGAGCAATTTTACAACTGTCAAATCTGAGATAATTGTTCAAAGAAAGCTTAATTATTAAGCCTTGGTAAATCCAAGCGTGTCCATCCGCTCCCACCCAATCCCTAGGGCATTAAATTTTATCGGGCATTTGGTATCTTCGAGTTTGTCTAATGATCGTGGCTCGTGGCTCGTGGGTACAAGTCGTGGGTCGTGGGTGTGGGTGTGGGTGTGGGTAATGTTTAAAATTAATTTTTAATCATTATTAATAATCTCTTTAACACTACGTGTAGATAAGTAATTACATTCATGCTACACGCTTGCGGGATCTGTGAATGGCCTGTCACTATTTATTTACCATGTTGTCAATCAATTCTTCTAGAAGCAGTTAACATTGTTCCTTTTTCAATAAATTATATGTTTTAAGCGAAATATTATTTCACTTAAAAAATACGCCTATTTAGATTGCTTTAGATATTTCTATAAAGAATATTTTTAGTACATATGCTTTAAAAGATACGTGTGGTTTCTGTCTCATTGACCACCCTGGCGGCCCCACAGTATTTTTTGTATCCTTCAAAAAAATTGCCCCCACCATCATGATCAGTTCGCACATGAAAGGAAAACAATCAATGCATCATTTGAAGATTTTAAAGGAAAAGACACATTCTTTGTAAGCAGATTGGCCTAGAAAAACTCTAGCGGCTAGGAGCAATTTGCGAAGGGTGCTTTACGCATTTTGATGAGATTGTCACAGATTTCCTATAAATATGGCATTTGCAGCTTTACAAGAAAATGGAATTTGGGTGGGTAGGGAATTTGCTAACCGGCGTACAGACGTCCTCGATCCGTCCCTCAGAAAAAATCGGGAGAAGAGACGTCTGTGAATCGTTGTCGTTAATCGTGTTCTCATTTCCCCGGAATGTTGGGGAAAGCTTCTCATTGGTTGCCATAAATAATTTCCGGTGTTGTGATTGGTGAATGAATCTCAGAAAAGATTTCCCGGAAAACCTCATCCTTTGTGGACAGCTTACCACAGAGTCGGGTTGTTTGTCAACACCTTTTTAACTGTCAGAGAAAAAAACAAAAAGAGAATGTTTAGCAGAACACGATTGACGACAGCGATTCACAGACATCTTTTCTCCAGATTTTTTATGAGAGATCTAGAGGATCAAAGACGTCTGCTCACAGGCTAGGAATTTGCACACTTTTTTAAGCCCCACCATGGAGTTTTTGTATGAGCTGCCTGGCCCCACCGTGGGGCATTTGTATCTTTTCCTATCTTTTTGTCGAGGGTTGACGGTCGAGGGTTCCATGTCGAGGGTCGAGGGAACCATGTCGAGGGTAATCTTTTTTTTCAATTTTTCTTATAGAGAAAATGTGTTGTTGTTTAATTAAAATAGTACGTGGACATTCGAATTCGCTTAAAAGCAAAGAACCTTCTCCCTTCCTGTAAAGGTAGACAGGTGGTGCCTAAAAAAAATATCATAGAGCTTAGGCAGGGGCACCCAACGACTGTTTTCTGTAAAATATCTGTTCGGAGAAGCAAAAACTGCCTCCAATTTTCTATTACTTGAGGAAGGCTAAAAATTTCTAGATGGCCGTTCCATTCACGTACAGTTTGTAACTTATCTAATAAATTCCCTACGATTCCCCACCAAACAAGTAAGAACTAAAATGGATGGAGATGTCCACGCGCCATTTGTTTTTTAAATTCTTCTTGTTTGTTTTTTATTTGTTTTCCATTTTTCAAAAAAAAAATTTTTTAAAAATTGTTACCCTTAACCGTCTACATGGAATCCTCGAATTTAAAAATTTAATTTTAAGAAACAAACGGCGCGTGGACATCTCCATTCATATTAGTTCTACTTGTTGGGTGGGGAGGGAGAGGGGAACAGCACACGTTACTTGATAACAGGTTTCTCAATATGAGCGACTGCCTAAGAACGTCTTCTGCTCTGTTGACGAGCCACCATATAGTAAAAAATGTCGTAAAAGAAGTTTAAAAAAACTCATTTAACTGATATATTACTGTCAAAATGAGTTTGGCCGCCTGTGGAAGCAGGAATTTAAAAATAACAAATAAAGGATATGCGGCTAAATTAGTGATAAAGGCTAGGCCCTAACCTGACCCTTTCAACTTTTCCCAGTTTTTGGCTAGGCGGACCGACCCATCTTCACTGAGATGGAGGCGATGAAAACCGAAACATATTACTTTATTGAAAGTTAGCATAATCGTCTGCTTCGATCTGATCGCTGTTCGTGAATAAAAGCTCCCCTTTTCGTGCAAGATAGGAAATAATCGCTGAAGCCGTTGTGAAGAAAATTTTTGCGCAGACACCTCTGATTTC